ACAAGTGTTCTACCATGAGTACAGGTGTGCAACTGAGTACAAGTGTTCTAAACACCACCAAAAGCGCAAGTCCACCAGGAGTACAAGTGTCCCACTATGAGTACAAGTGTCCCACTATGAGTACAAGTGTCCCACTGTAAGTACAAGTGTTCCACCATAAATACAAGTGTTGCATCATGAGCACAAGTGTTCTACTATAAGTATAAGTGTTCCACTATGAGTACAACTGTTCCACTATGAGTACAACTGTTCCACTATGAGTACAACTGTTCCACTATGAGTACAACTGTTCCACTATGAGCACAAGTGTTCTACTATAAGTATAAGTGTTCCACTATGAGTACAACTGTTCCACTATGAGTACAACTGTTCCACTATGAGCACAAGTGTTCTACTATAAGTATAAGTGTTCTACTATAAGTATAAGTGTTCCACTATGAGTACAACTGTTCCACTATGAGTACAAGTGTTCCACTATGAGTACAACTGTTTCACCATAAGTACAAGAGAGCCACCATGAGTACCATAAAGCCACCAGGAGTACAAGTGTTTCACTATAATTACAAGTGAGCCACCAGGAGTACAAGTGAGCCACCAGGAGTACAAGTGAGCCACCAGGAGTACAAGTGAGCCACCAGGAGTACAAGTAGGCCACCAGGAGTACAAGTGAGCCACCAGGAGTGCTAGTGAGTCACCATGAGTACAAGTGTTTCACCATAAGTACAAGTGAGCTTCCAAGTGTTCTACTATGAGTATAAGTGTTCCACTATGAGTACAACTGTTCCACTATTAGTACAAGTGTTCCACTATGAGTACAAGTGTTTCACCATAAGTACAAGTGTTTCACCATAAGTACAAGAGAGCCAACATGAGTACAATAAAGCCACCATGAGTACAAGTGTTTCACTATAATTACAAGTGTTCCACCAAAAGTACAAGTGAGCCACCAGGAGTACAAGTGAGTCACCATGAGTACAAGTATTCTACTATGAGTACAAGTGTTCCACAATAAGTACAAGTGTTCCACCATAAGTACAAGTGAGCCACCATGAGTACAAGTGATCCACAATGGGTAAAAGTGTTCCACTATGAGTACAAGTGATTCACTATGAGTACAAGTGATCCACCATGAGTACAAGTGAGCCACCATGAGTACAAGTGAGCCACCATGAGTACCACCATGAGAACAAGTCTTCCACCATGAGTACAAGTGTTCCACCATGAGTACAAGTGAGCCACCATGAGTACAAGTGATCCACAATGAGTACAAGTGATTCACTATAAGTACAAGTGATCCACCATGAGTACAAGTGATCCACCATGAGTACAAGTGTTCCACCAGGAGTACCAGTGAGCCACCATGAGTAACAGAGTGCCACCATGAGAACAAGTCTTCCACCATGAGTAAAAGTGTTCCACTACGAGTACAAGTGATTCACCAGGATTAAAAGTGTATCATTATGAGTACAAGTGAGCCACCAGGAGCACAAACGTTCCACCATGAGTACAAACATGCGAGTGAGTACGAGTGCCTCAGTGAGTAAAGGAGTTTAACTGCAGAATAACATCATGAAAAATACAACTGACAACCAAACTAAATCCTAACACAATGCAACCCCCCCCCCCCCCACAGAGAGAGAGAGAGAGAGAGACAGAGAGAGAGAGAGAGAGAGAGAGGTAGAGAGATCGACAGAGAGAGACAGAGAGAGACAGAGACAGAGAGAGAGAGAGAGTACATATATATATGTATGTACCTACACTCTCACCTACTCAATCACACAGCAAAAATATAAGTTAAAGGAGAAAACAGGTTGCATGAAATTTGACCAAAAGGGAGAAAAGTGTGCCTTGTGTGACGTATACAACTGGTGAAACTGGTTACTCGTCAGCAGTAGGAGAGTCACACCGTGGAAGAGACAGAGGCTGCACCATGTAATATTTCCCAAAAACAACAGTAGAACACTGTAGCCACCCTTCATTGTGGAGATGGCACAGAATTACTTCAACTGCAATTGGAGACATAGGTCTGCATAAATCTTGAAAAATGAAAATGAAAACTCAATTTCATTTGGTCCCTTAGAGTTTGTGTTTACAAGCATTTACTTTTCTGTCTGTGTGTGAGAGAGTGCGTGCATGTGTTAAAGAGCATATAAAAGGACTCTTTCTCGTGACTCATAGGTTTAGTGGGTATACAGTATTCTTCTTCTGCCTTGTATCCCCCCAATGGAGTATAGGCCTTCAACCAACTCCTGCCAAGTCGTTCTATCCTTTACTACCGCATGCAGCTCTCCATTTATTGAACTTTGCTCTCTAGCTCCCTCCTCCATGTTTTATTTTGGGTCTGACTTTATTTCTCTACCTCTGTTGGTTCCAGTGCAAAGGCATTCCAGTTATACTGTTTTCAGGTTTTCTCAACATTTGTCCTATTCAACACCAGTGTCTTTTCCTCACCTCTTGGTCCATTGATTCTCTCCCAAAGCTCAACACTTGTGATGCTGATTCTATCACACCACCGAATCCCTTTATTCTACAAGAGGCACTGGTTAATGAATGTTTGTAGTTTATTAGTCACCATTTATTTTTCCCCGCTCCTTACAGCAGTACTGATTCCCCGCTCCTTACAGCAGTACTGATTCCCCGCTCCTTACAGCAGTACTGATTCCCCGCTCCTTACAACAGTACTGATTCCCCGCTCCTTACAGCAGTACTGATTCCCCGTTCCTTACAGCAGTACTGATTCCCCGCTCCTTACAGCAGTACTGATTCCCCGCTCCTTACAACAGTAACTGATTCCCCGCTCCTTACAGCAGTACTGATTCCCCGCTCCTTACAGCAGTACTGATTCCCCGCTCCTTACAGCAGTACTGATTCCCCGCTCCTTACAGCAGTACTGATTCCCCGCTCCTTACAGCAGTACTGATTCCCCGCTCCTTACAGCAGTACTGATTCCCCGCTCCTTACAACAGTACTGATTCCCCGCTCCTTACAGCAGTACTGATTCCCCGTTCCTTACAGCAGTACTGATTCCCCGTTCCTTACAGCAGTACTGATTCCCCGCTCCTTACAACAGTAACTGATTCCCCGCTCCTTACAGCAGTACTGATTCCCCGCTCCTTACAGCAGTACTGATTCCCCGCTCCTTACAGCAGTACTGATTCCCCGCTCCTTACAGCAGTACTGATTCCCCGCTCCTTACAGCAGTACTGATTCCCCGCTCCTTACAGCAGTACTGATTCCCCGCTCCTTACAGCAGTACTGATTCCCCGCTCCTTACAGCAGTACTGATTCCCCGCTCCTTACAGCAGTACTGATTCCCCGCTCCTTACAGCAGTACTGATTCCCCGCTCCTTACAGCAGTACTGATTCCCCCGCTCCTTACAGCAGTACTGATTCCCCCGTTCCTTACAGCAGTACTGATTCCCCGCTCCTTACAACAGTACTGATTCCCCGCTCTCCCCTTTCCTTACAGTACTGATTCCCCCGCTCCTTACGCAGTACTGATTCCCCGTTCCTTACAGCAGTACTGATTCCCCGCTCCTTACAGCAGTACTGATTCCCCGCTCCTTACAACAGTAACTGATTCCCCCCCTCTCCTTACAGCAGTACTGATTCCCCGCTCCTTACAACAGTAAACTGATTCCCCGCTCCTTACAGCAGTACTGATTCCCCGCTCCTTACAGCAGTACTGATTCCCCGCTCCTTACAGCAGTACTGATTCCCCGCTCCTTACAGCAGTACTGATTTCCCCGCTCCTTACAGCAGTACTGATTCCCCGCTCCTTACAGCAGTACTGATTCCCCGCTCCTTACAGCAGTACTGATTAAACGCTCCTTACAGCAGTACTGATTCCCCGCTCCTTACAGCAGTAACTGATTCCCCGCTCCTTACAGCAGTAACTGATTCCCCGCTCCTTACAGCAGTACTGATTCCCCGCTCCTTACAGCAGTACTGATTCCCCGCTCCTTACAGCAGTACTGATTCCCCGCTCCTTACAGCAGTACTGATTCCCCGCTCCTTACAGCAGTAACTGATTCCCCGCTCCTTACAGCAGTAACTGATTCCCCGCTCCTTACAGCAGTACTGATTCCCCGCTCCTTACAGCAGTACTGATTCCCCGCTCCTTACAGCAGTAACTGATTCCCCGCTCCTTACAGCAGTACTGATTCCCCGCTCCTTACAGCAGTACTGATTCCCCGCTCCTTACAGCAGTAACTGATTCCCCGCTCCTTACAGCATTACTGATTCCCCGCTCCTTACAGCAGTAACTGATTCCCCGCTCCTTACAGCCAAACCAATCCCTCTTCATTTTAATAGCCCTGACCCACAGCGGTAAAGATGACATATCTGTCACAGCATTAAAATCTTGCTCTGGCGATCATACTACCCGCCTCGCTTTGGGAAAATCGCCTTATCCACAGCCTTGGCGTTCTTAGTCCAGAGGTATCAATATCCAACATACCTTCATCTAAATAGTTCTAATCTTATCACATTTTAAATGTTAATTTTTTTATTTTATTTCATATTATTACCTTATTCTATTTCTTATCAGTATCATTTATGTATCATTACCACTTGCATTTCTTTTATTCCCAGTATTGTGACTATATTTTTTAGCCATCGTTTATTTTATTTTATTTCATTTTTTCCGCATCACATTTTTTTAAAGCGCTCACGTCACCCCTTAGAGATCTACATACTCTCCATTCCTCGTTTGTGTCTTTCACTTGTGTTTGAAAAAGGCTGCCCAGCCGAAACGTTACGTTTTGTTGTTTTGTGCACGTTTTCCTCTTTCCCATTTTGTTGAGCTTTTTAGTCAAATTTCTCTGGAATTCATAGTTCTATGAAAGCTCTTCTTGCTGACTGTATTCATTTTTTACTATCTCTACCTACATTACTGCCCAAATGAGATGCATGAGGGTTTACAGTGTTAGACCAACATTTAGGATAAAATGAAGTGGGGAACACAGAAGAGGATGAGTTATCCTTCCTGACAGTCGTACCTGTTGATGAGTGCCTGGTACTCCACATCAAACTCCAAGGCGGTCAATTCATTCTTTATTTTCTCAGAGTTGGATTTCTGTTCAGGAGAAGTGGGTCTCCGGTCAATGACCGCACACTGAATAAACCAAAAAAACAGAACATGTTATTTAATCTCACCATTTTTTTTTATTTTTAATATCCAGAAACCAGGAGTTGTAAAGCAACCCTTTGGTCTTGATTCCATGACAGATACTGTAAATCTGGTAAATATGTGGCTTTTCTGGCTAACCTGCAGCCATGCAGCTGGTTTAACTTACTGAGCTAGTGCACCTGGCATTTAATTACATTTCACCTTATATTTAACAAACCACACCAGAGTTCACTATAAAATAAACTTTTTTTCACTCCTGCTTTTCATCTTATGCAGCACTTACTATGTGTGTACAGGCTTTTGCAAATTGATTAACAACAATATCAAAGCAGTTTTCCCATTGTAAATCTGAATAAAGAAGATACGAACACCAGAATGCATATTCTGCTGCTTGGAATACTTTGCTGCATCTCATCAGGTGCCAAAGGACTAATACACAATCGTGATAACTTATCTATCATGTTGTTGCGAACATATGAGATGGTTTCAAATGAAGGATGTCAAAAGTGTAAAGCATGTGACAATCACAGTGCAGAACATGGTGACGCCAAAATGACAGTTTAAGGATGGATGTCCCACTTTTGACATGCACCAAAGAGGAGCAATGTTCAATGTCTGTTGTTTTATTTATTTTTTTGGTCAGTGAAGGGGTGAAACCTATAGAAATTTATCAGTTAAAAAAAAAGAACTAGTATGGTGGTGCATACCTGTCAGTCCAGCAAGTGTGCGAGTGACGTGAAGAAGTTTCAAAATGGTGTGACATCTGTGACAGACTGTTGCGTCACTGTCAACAGTCTGCCACAGAAGTGCAATAATGAACAAGGTGTTTAATACTTACACAACCAGATTTAGCAATATTGGTGGCACCAGCATCCTCGGCATGAGAGTTAGCACTGGGGTCTGACAGAGCATTTTTGGCACTAGACAGCTCCGTATTATTTGGGTTAGTATTGCTGGATGCAGACGGCGTGGCATCTGTGGAGGTTCCTTCAGAAGAGGTTGATGCCACTGGCTTAACTGCCATCTTTGTGACTTGAAACCTCCCTCGCTTTTCAGTGCTGACCTCGCCTGTGAGGTCTATTGTGGAGTTCCCTACTTCTGGAGATGATGACTTGCTTTCGTCTTCTTTTGAAGCAACCAGGGGATCATCCTTCACTACTTCAACTTTAAAGCGGGATAGTGTTTTGATTTTTGGTGCAGACAGGTCCGGTTCGGATCTGATTTCAGTAGGGCAAGGGGGAGAGTTATCAGCTAATGTTCCTTTATCAGCCAGGACCTTTTCCTCTTTGCTTTTGGCCTCATCTGGGACTTCCGAAGGTTCATCTGTAGACTTGTGTTCATGGGAGGCTTCCTGCAGATTGGTGAAACTTGTGGCCGGAGTAGGAGTAGGGTGATGAGGATGATTATGTCTGCTCATAGTTCTGGCCAGAGCTTGCTCCAGGATATTAAAATCAGCTTTTGGTAGGGTCTTGCTAAGCAAGCTCAGATTTTCAACAGAATTATATGGAGTCTGGGCCATATCATGAACAGTTTTCCTTGAAGCAGTGGGAGATTGGGGAGGTGATGTATTTGGAAAGGCAGCATTTTCTGCCGGATGGGAGGATGGAGGTGGCGGGCCAACATTCGATGGATAGCTCCAGCCGGGGTAATGACCATATGGATAGGTCATGTGTACTGGTAGTGGATGCTGGTTTCCGTGCTGGAGATGCTGCTGCATTTGGTGCATCATGTGTGACATCTGCATCATGGTCTGCATGTAAGGAGTCATGTGAGCGTAGTAGCTTGGCTGGTGGATGCTGAAAGGGGGCAGGTGCATCATGTTCTGCATCATTGAATACATCTGGTGCAGCTGCGGCATCTGGGACTGCTGAGGGTGCACCCCATAGCCCAGGTGGCTGGCCGTGCTGAAAGTTGTGGGGAGGTTCCCTGCCTTCTGGACAGGTTCTTGAGTATGGCCATGGGTCAAAACTGCAGAAGCTGGAATAGAATGACCCGCTGCATCTGTTGCTAGATGCTCTGGGGCCACGCCTGAGGTCTGGTGCTGGAAGGAAACAGGGTAATGAGCCTGCTGACCAGCAACCACCTGTGATGTTTGACTTGCCTGAATGGCATTTCTGGAGGTTTCGACTCCCATAAAGTTAGCTGTCTCCTGACCTGACTGTGGAATTAGGACACTACTAATGGCATGTCCAGTTTGAGATGGATTGACAGGCTGAACAGAAGAAGCCATACTCTGAATGCTGGCCTGAACTAATTGTGACATCGTTGATGAGACAGTTGGAACCTGGCCTTGAGGAATGATTCCAGCCATACCTTGGACTATCTGGCCAACAGGAGCTTGAGTAGCATAAGTGGCCTGCACATGGACTTGTCCTGGCTGGCCTGCAGCATCTGGTTTCATGCCGGATGGCTGAGTTTCTGATCCAGCACCTGGAGGTAGTACCTGTCCAGCCATCGGCCCAGTTTTCTGTGGGTAGATAGACTGGAGTTTCTCCGACAGCTCTTCTATGTTAACTGGGACACTTTCTTTTGCTGCCGCAGGTTTCCCCACTTTCAGCTCATTGTCGTTGACAGTACCGTGTGTTTGAGTGCTGTTACTCTCATGGTTTGTCTCCGTAGACACAAGTGGTTCCTCAACATCATCTTCAAACTTGTTGGTGTTTGTGGACTGATGTGTGACAATCAATCCACTCTTGGGGACCTGCCTTCGGTGTTTGTGGCTCTGGGTTCCCTCAACTGAGGGCTGAAATTTGAAGGAAAATGCAACATACTGTTAGCCAGAACAAATTAGAAAAAAATAAGATCTTTAGTGAAGAGATATAATGCAAGTGAATTATGGACACCAGCTGATGACTGCCAAATAAGGATGCCAAGGGGATGAGGTTTTATGGATGAATGGTAACACCAGAAAATGATAAAAAGTGCAATGAAGATACTCAGAAACAGTTAACTGATAAAAAAGAGAGACAAGGCAATACATTCTTTGGGAACGTTATGACAAGGGACAACAGGAAAGTTTAAAGCTGTGGTTCTCAACCTGTGGGCCCCGACCTCTTTGGGGGTTGAACGACTATTTCACAGGGGTCGCCTGATTGGCACCTTTCCGTCTTTCCAGATGATACTATAATATTATAAATATTGACACTGATCAAAGACCAGTTATGTTAAAAAAGAACACTGAGTACAGAAAACTAAGACATAAAATAGTAACCACAGATGTTATCAACTTCCGGAGACTTCAGGATAATGTGGTTAAAGATGAGATTCAACAAGAAATTACAGTCCAGGCAAATATTCAAACATTGATTCAGAGTAGACATGTTTTTAGGACGGTTATGCTCAACACACTTCAAAAACGGTAGGTGGTGTAAAATGTTTAAGAACTATTTGGTGGAACAACGAAGTTAAAGACAACGTATCCAGAAAGAAAGAGGGCATATGAAAAATGGCTAAAATCAAAATCACATTAAGATTACGTCCATTACAGATTAGTAAGAAGTGAAGCAAAACGCAAAATTAAAGCAACTAAAGACAAGTCTTGTAGAAATTATGGTCAACAGATGGCTACCCTCAGCAAGAACTCCCCTAGAGAATTCTAAAAACATGTAAAAATCATGAGAGAAAGAGTCATAGGCTACAACCCAACAACTATTATCAACAGCAAGACAGGCATACCTCTATTTAATCCGCAACAGAGGTTGGCAAGATGGCCAGAGTATTTTCAAGAACTTCTCAACCCCACAGGCAACGTAGATATAATTTTAACTTTGTACCTCAAATCTGCAAACAAGAGGAACCAAATTTCAAAGCAGCGGAAGTAAAAGCTGTTATACAGAACAGCCCCAAAAACAAAGCATCAGGTCTGGAAGGAATTATAACAGAAGGGATCAAAGCAAGCGGAGAAGTGGGTGTTAAATGGCTTACTAGAATTTTAATATAGCTGGGGAAGAAAGAAAAGTCCCAGCTGAGTGGCAACAGGCACTAATAGTACCGTTATGGAAAAAAGAAAAGTAATAGGAGAAAATGTGAAGCATACAGAGGTATAACACTACTGAGTCATGTAGGAAAAATGTATGCCAAATTACTAGAACAGAGCGTTAGACCCATAGCTGAACAACAGATGAGTGCATCCCAATTCGGTTTCAGAAAAGGCAGAGGATGCACAGATGCATTATTCAATCTGAGGCAAGTGTGTTAGGAAGCCATTGAGTATAATATCAAACAGAATATTGTGTTTGTAGACAAGGAAAAGGCTTTCAATAGAGTGGATAGAAACAAATTGTGGTCTGTTCTTGATAACTACAGGGTTCAAGGACAGTTACTAGAGAACAACAAAGCCATGTACCTCACAAGCCGAAAAGCAATAAGAACACAAAAAGGCATATCAGACACGTTCACAGTCAAACACGTGTGAGACAGGGATGTGTGCTCTCCCAACTTTTATTTAACATTTATATAGACAGAATATCTAAAGACGCAAGTTCTGATACAGACAACATAGATAGATCTTTATAATCATGAGGAAGTACACACACATCAGGAGAAATTATTGATTCACCCACATTAAACGAACTTCTATTTGCTGATGACCAGTGCTTGTTCTACCCTGAAGAAGATAGACTGCAAGACCACATTTAACAGGTTACACTCAGCATGCAGTAAATAACAACATGAAGATCAATGCAAAAAAAACCAAAACAATGCAAGTTAGTAGAACCCCTGCCCCACTACACATACAGCTGAATGGTTCTGCTCTGAATCAAGTTAGGGAGTTTAAATATCTAGGAAGTATGATCACAGAAAATGGTAGAATTGACAGAGAAATAGAAACCAGATGTCAGAAAGTAAGCGCACTTATATACCAACTGTCACCATTATTAAGACATCCAAGCATAACTATGAGTGCAAAGAGACAAATTATTAACAGAATATTCATTCCAACATTGAGCAACCAGTGCCAAACATGGACACTATCTAAAGCCCATATACGCAAAATCACCACCTGCGAGATGAGGTGCCTGAGAAAAGCAGCCAACCTAACCATCAGAAATGGAATGAATAATGAAACTATCAGACAAATTGTGGGAACGTCACTTTGTACTAGATTCATCGAGAAACAGCAGATCATGTGGTTTGGCCAAATCGCTGGAATGCAGCAAGATCAAATACCATCACAAGCACTACATCTCAGAAGATCAGCTACAAGAGCAAGAGGATGGCCGCGGAAAACATGGATCGACAACATGAAAGACACTCTACGCCTTCACGGCATGACAATAGCCAGTGGCAGCCAACATGCACTGGATCGCAAATTATTCCTCCCCACGGGGCTTAACGTCAGAGAAGTGGTTTATGATGATAATGATGATGAGTGTTACATCGTGCTATGAGGGGTCATGGGATGCAAGTATGAAAGCCGCAGCCGCACTTCAAGTGGTTAAAAACAATATATTTGGCTATTTACCTACTTTACATTAACATATTAAGCAAAGGTAATTTTTCTATGTGATGGGGAAGAAATCTTTAACTACAAACTTTAACTGATTTTCCTCCCTTCGACCACGATAAATGTAGTTTTCTAGTGTTAGCCAAGTGAAGAAAAGTGATGCCTGAATGAGATTATTAAAATGTAATTTTGGTGTGAAACATTTTTTAACAATGTTTTTTTTCTTTCCCACCCCAAATAATATCAGGTGGGTTTTTTTTTTTTTGACGGGGGGTGGTGGGGGGTAATAATATCATACTTACCACATTTACGACTCTGCGAATCTGAAGGTCATCGGTTCAAATTCGAATAGTCTGATTGTTTTTTGTTTTTGCACAAACATGTCGTCAGCTCCGCGGCCGACCCAGCCTTAAATGGGTACTAGGTAGAGCCCTGGGAAGTAAAGGCAGCCAGCATGATGTTGACCAGATCAAAGGCTAACTGGTCTATAAAAACATGAGTCGAGCCTCATTCTGCCCATGTGCCATTGATGAAAAAAGGCACCATTACTTTACTTTGACTAACATGTCCACACACTATTTACTTGCAACTAGCACCACAGCAGCTATAAAGGCGGAGTGGCCCCTGCCCTGAGGCTTATGTCATTTTTTAAAAATGTAAATACCGTGTTCAAAAAACAGGTTTCTCCGGGTGACGGGGTTAAATTCCCTCTCTAATTTCCTTGTCCGCAAATTTTGGGGGTCTGCTTTTATACATGTGACCCTGTGGGTTCCAGCTCAAAAACATTACAGTTAAATCACATTTTCTTAAAGTGTTCCTATCCAAAGGAGCATGGTTTCAAAGCAAAGCCATCTCTTGAATAACTAGAACTTGTTTACTTCTCTCCCAAAGCTCTACATCAATGATTCTATCGTGCCAGTTAATCCCTCTGTTCAGGACAGGCACCAGTTAATGCATGTTTGTAATTAGGGAAAGCGAGGCTGTCCAAAAAAAAAACTCCGCCAAATGTTAATGAGAAAGGCAACTGGTGATGGACTGGATTTCAAAGGATTGCAAAGGATGGAACAGAAGGGAGGAATCAAATTTAAGCCCTATAAAACATATAAACAGTACAATAAATGATTACAATAATGGCAAATGCAACTCTAACTTAAACAGAATTAAGATAGAGTGGAATCTTCTGCTTCTTCGTGGTCACTGGCTCTGAACTCCAGCAAAAACGTCTGGTTGCTCAACCACTTCTGGACTTTTGGTCTTGTTCTAGAACCCGAGTTTTGCATGCACAAACATTTTACAGATCTGGCTTATGTGTATGCAGACTGTTGGTTTCTTACCTCTCAGGCAGAAAAACTCCAACTTTGAAGCAAAATATAGATAATAATAGACTCTTACGACCAGCTTCTTAGGGGGCAGTGGGTATATACTAGGGCTGTACCGAATATTCGCTTCGGGGCCGAATAGTCGACCTAATAACTATTCGGTATTCGGCCGAATAGTTGCAGTCGGGCCGAATACGAATAATGGTTACCTTACTCCAGTTTCTGCATACACTGTGATGGACTGAAATTACTCTCTCATTAACACAATTGTTGCTCTTGCCTATGTCGTAGCGGGGGAAACTGCAACCCGGTTGCGTGGCACAAACTGCATAAAATGCCAACCGCAGTGTGTGTGTGTGTCAGCTTCGTTTTTCAGCTATGTTATGAGAAGAGGGAAAATAGAACATTTGGTAACCACTGGAAAGATCTGTGGAAGGAGGGATAGAGGATGATAACGATAGAAGATTCTTGACAGTCTTGTTGCATGGCATGGAGGTGTGTCAGTACACGAAGTGATACATGCTGCAGGAGATAGCAAATTGTAGAGAGGCATGATTGCCCACGCCAGTCAGCAAGGCACCTGATGATGATGATACACTATTCGTATTCGGCTGAATAGTTGGTCCCACTATTCGTATTCGACCGAATAGTGAAAATCACTATTCGGTACAGCCCTAGTATATACCCCCCTCTATGGGACTACAGAAACCACGTGGGAAGAATACAATTAAATCTTTAACATAATTAGGACAGGGTGGATGAAATAAGACCTAAACTGCACTGGTTGAGGGCAGTCTTGCCCTTCGTTCCTCAATTATTTCAATATCACTGATGGGATCCAGCCCAGCACCTCTGGTCTCTCTCAACAATGTTCATCTTAGGCCTTCTCTGGATGTCCTCAATACGCATACAGAAAAGGGTCCTTTACTTTTCTAATAAACTTATAATAGCAATCTTATGACCCTTCTCCACATGATGTGCCCAAGATACAAGTTAGAGACAAAAGAGTAAGAATTCAATGTGTGTGTAAGAGTCCTCTGTATGTGCATGTGTGTGGTGGGGAAAAAAGGGGGGAGAGGGTGGATGTCAGGGACGAAGCCAGAAAATGCACTAACCTTCTTGGTATCTATGTTGATCTTAAACTTTCTCACAGCCGAAGGACTTGTCGAGGGTGACAGGGTCAACACCTGGCCCACCGAATTCTTGCCCTCTTGGGTCACTATCTGGATGACTTGGTGCAATAGACTAGTTACACCCTCTATCTGCACTTTACTGACATCCGGTAGCTAGAATAGGAAATAACGACTATTACACTACACGATATATACACTGCTTCATTTCAGTAATTTTAAATATTTACATATATATTCTTAACTCAAAATTTAAAATCAAATCACTGTAAAGTTAAACAGGTGTTTTTATTTATTTGTTTAAAGTCTGAATGAGAAAAAAGAATGTAAATCAGGTAAATCAGACATGTAATATACATACATGTTTAGTATAATATATTTATGTATGGTGTGAGTGAGTGAGGATGGAGTGAGAGAGAGAAGAGACAGAGGAAGGACAGACTGCCAGACAGACAGGTAAACAGACAGACAGACGGGTAGACAGACAGGTAGGTAGGCAAATAGAGAGAGAGAGAGAGAGAGAGAGAGAGAGAGAGAGAGAGAGAGAGAGAGAGAGAGAGAGAGAGAGAGAGAAAGGGAGAGAGAGAGAGAAGCCAAGTAAGTCACCTAATGCACATGAACTATCCTACACATCACAAATCAAACCCAGCCTTGGGTAGCATAACTTTCAATTAATATGTGTGGGTTAGAAGTCAAAATAATTAAGTCTCGTGAAAAGAAGGATGATTAAATAAAAAATTAACAACAAAACAAACAAGTTGAATTAATAAGCAGAAAACAAGGGATCTATATAAAAACTGCCTGGGAAACTAGTATGAAGAAAGACTCTTGAACAGCAAATTCCTTTAACTACATCACCTCTCCGCAAGTTTTTTTTCTAAAACAGAATAAATAACTAAATTCCCTCACCACAGCTGTGTTTTAAAAGAAAATAATAATAAACACCCTCACCAAATCCATGTTTTCTACTTCAGGATGAATAACTCACTCCACAATATGTTTCTAAACAAAGTCAGTTTCAATCTCTCCACAACAATTCAAACAGTTGAAACTGCAAAAATGTCATCTCTACATTTATCATAATAAAAAAACTATCTTCTGTCTGCAATGCTTTAAACAAATTCAATAACTAAATCTCTCCATGACTGTTTTTTTTCTCATCTACATTCCTTTAAAGACTGTCAAGCTACACACATTTTGCCACTAGAAATTAGATACTAACAGATCACAGGTAAAGCAGTAAGGCAAAGAACAACTTCTATGTTGTTTTGGCGGCACATTTTCATGGAACCACCAACCAGTACTTGCGGTAAATTTCATACCAGCCAGTGGTCCCTGTGGGATGCCAGGTGGGCCTAGAGCCGCGTAACAAACACATTGTAAAAGGTGACTATTAATTGAGAGTTTGCTGAAATGGGATGTGTTGGCCGAAAGAGTTATCACAGCTTAGTTGTAAACCACAAAACAATGCACAACTGGCTCTTGTGAGGGTGTACACACAAGTTGAAGACACCGGCCGGCATTAACTCTCAAATCATATCAACATATTTTTTTTTTAAACACACTTGTGCAAACAAAAACATCCAAAGCAAAAACAAACTGCAAGCAAACGTGGTATCTTTATAACAATGCACAGAAAACAACGGGAACAGACAGGGCAGTGTGATGCAATGCAGGACTCCCGTCATCACACCACCAATGAAAAAGAATGCTTTGCTGGGCAGCAAGCCGTTCATTACCAAGTCTTCCTCAACCTCCTCGGCTCTAGGAATTGAGTTCCGCAGAAACTTGCAGGTCAGGTTGTTGTTTGACACCTCCAGCAGAACTTCCACTTCGTCCGACGCTTCGTCATACGAGATGATTGTCACCTTTGGGGGCAGTTTGTCCACGGTCTTTTTGCGGCGCCGAGACTTCTTCCTAGTCTTTTCTTGGCCCAGTTCTGTTTCACTGTGCATGAAAAAAGTGTCCAATGCACCAAAACAAGCTATTGATTATTCATGAACCTGTATGATAATTGTTGTATCCACCAGTGCAAAAAATGTGCTAATCACTTCTGTGTGGTTTTTTTTTAAGAAAATTTGCTTCCGCCAACAAGTTTTAGTTTAGAGCGTTTGCTCCGAAGATATGGATTTTAAAATCCATGACATTTGGGAACTTTAAAAAAATATGATGAACTGCAAGTACCTTAGAATTAATTTCTCAAAGGACTGATACAATTTTATTCTGTGTTCTGTAATGAAAACTTACTAAATTGGCCATTTTAAAACATGGGGGGGGGGGGGGGTTTTTTTAAAATCTCATACTCGTTAAGCTGTTCAATGCATTTATGTGTGTGATTACCCCATAAAATTTGCACTGGTGTTTACACAATCAGATTTCTGATGATTAATGATCCCTTTAAACTAGTAAGTGACACTGACAACTACAAATTCAGACATGACGTCAACCTACCTCTCCTTGTTGGAGTGACAGGACTCATCGTTGAGGCAACCAGTGGAGACGCTGGCTGTGATCCCACTGGCGCTGGCCGTGGGCTGTGAGTTTGGGGTGCCGCCCTGCTGGAGCTGGCAGGACTGCACCTGGTGCTGCTGGGCGGCATTCATATCCAGGTGACTCAGATTGGCAGCCTGTTTGAAAATTGCAATTCTTGGATTACCACCAACTAGGAAACAAATTAACAGAAAATAGAATCCATCACAACAACAAATCAAGAAGACCAATGATCCGTTTCCAAAACTAAAATGAGAATGTCAATAGAACAAAACTGCAGTGTTATGGCATGACATAACCAGTGTATTTACATAAGAATGTTCTAAAATCCCCCTCTCCATCCCCCATGAATAAATCTGAACCTCACACAAAATTACACATACCAAATAATACTTGACAAAATCACATTCACTGAACAACAACAAAATGATATCAACATTCAAAACCATACAAACTGGACACTAACAAATTATAACACCTAAGAAAAATCAGACACGCCAAAAATAAACGAATGATAATACCTTAAACAAATCATATACACTAAAAATAAAATGATAATACCTTTCAAAAATCATATACACCCAGTGTTTTTTTTTTAATCACTCTCACAATCACAGATACCCAACATTAACTAATCTTAACACCTTTCAAAATCACATGACATTACCAGATATTGCTTTTCAAAATCACATGACATTACTAGATACTGCCTTTCAAAATTACATGACATTACCAGATATTAGCTTTCAAAATCACATACACTGTTACTGTAACATCAACCAGTGTTAGCTTTCAAAAGAACATACATTCATCAACAATTATTTTAACATCTTTTAAAATCACATACACTAAACAAAGGTTAATGCATTTCAAGATCAATACAGTATCAACAAATGTTTAACACAATAGCTTTCAAAATCATCTGCACCAAACAACAATGAATTGAAAAAATTTAACCAAAACACATATATTTAAAAAATGTAACACCTTTCAAAATCAGACTCTTCAGCAAATGTTAACACTTTTAACAATAACATACATCATCAACAATTGTTACCAGCTTTCAAACTCTCCTACACTCACCAGCAAACATTAACACCTTAAAAAATCAAATACATTCATCAGCAAATGTTATCACCTTTAACAATGAAATGCATTCATCAACAAATGTTAACAGCTCTCACAAACAACTGTATCCACCATCAACAAATAAAGACAATTTAACAACTAACATAAACAAAGTGCCCAGGTATGATAGTTGGAGGAAAAAAATATAGCACCAATTCTCAGTAATTCTAGCATGAAAGCGTGACCGCATAAAAATGGTGTGATGTAATAATTAATAAATACATGAAACTGTCATAAATAAAACACAAGCTGACTTCAAATATATATTTCTATACATGTGTGTGTGTGTGTGTATGCGTGTAGATATATACATATACAAAAAAATTCATGTCAACATAGGGTTATCAAAATTAACCTGGAGAATTACAGTTACGTCATCATCTGATTTGTCTATTTTGTAGCAATTTTTGCCATTCACACCATAAATCTTGTCTTTCCAAGTTCAGAGGCTTTCCTCTTAGTCAGTGGTTCCCAACCTTTCAAATGAGGTGACCTTTTAATACAGTTCCTCATGCTGTTGCGACCCCCAACCATACAACTGTTTTCATCGCTACTTCATAACTTCAATAAATATTTGTTGTGTTTTTTGAGAACCGCTGCTCTTAGTCATCCCAACCCCTGTTTCTCTTTACTACAGAAACAACCCTGCCCAACTGCTATATGATATGGAACTCTGGGGACAATTATTCAGTTAATTGCAGCTCCAACTTCACATTAATTGGGTCACCCTCATAACCAGTCGGTTCTGTGCCGGCAGATATCAAGACCATTAACACAGAGCACACACATAAGGCAGCTGTCAGAATTGCCAACAATAACATTCTGCAAGAAGAACTGCAGTTCATCATCGGTGGAGGTAGCAGTTACAACAAATCAGCAGTAGCACACAATGGCAAAAGGCACAACCGATTATGCTGCACAGGCCAATCGCCATTTTCTGAATCTGCAGCTGACAACACAAACCACCTTGGGCACATTCAAAAAGCATTCCAAATGAAATCCACAGCTCAGTGTTGAACTATGCACTAAGTTTAGCAGCTGAGTAACAGAACTATATTCTTTCAGTCCACATATGGGGAAAATGCAATAGCTAACAAAAAAAGTGTCAGTAGCAAATAACTTTCCAGCACCAAAATTAGTCTGCCTCAATAATTTTATCAACCATATCGGGACAGAAGTCTCTCTGGGTATATCACACTGATAGACGAGTCTTTCAATCACTACCTAACAAATCTCACTTGCTGAATACACCATGTTTCCCAACAATAAGACTGGGTTGTTTAAATTTTGCTCCAACAGACACCTTAGGGATTATTTTTAGGGGGACAACTTATATTTTTATGTAAAGAAATCTATATTTATTCTAGTGCACAAAATATATATTATTCAAGTACAAATATATACACTTAGGTAAGAACCAAAATAAAATTTATGTATATATACATACATATATATATATATATATATAAGAGGGAGAAAAAAAATCAGTATATATTTAAAGCAGTGTTGTGAGAAGTTTAGGATTGTCTTTGTTAGCTTACCTATGTAAGCAGAAGTTTAGGACTGTTTTGATCAGTTTACTTATGTCGTAGAAGTTTAGTCCTGTCTTCATCAGTAAGCCTTTGTCGCTGAAGTTTAGTCTGGTTTTTGTTAGTGAACTTATGTGCAAGGAAAAATTAGCAGGAATCAAGCTTAGTAAGCAATAATATGGTATGGACAGATATGGCAGACTGCAGTCAAATTAAAACTGAAAACATGAAAATGTGAAACATAAGCAGAAAAGAAAAATGAAAAGAAAAAGAAAACGTAAAATGTGAATGAGAAAGCCGAAAAAAAAAGAAAATGAAAAGCGTGAAGTGACACGAGAAAACAGATTCGATGAAAATGTAAAGTGTGAACAAACATGAGAAAGCTGGGGGGGGGGGGGGGGGGGGGGGGGGGGGGGGGGGGGGGGGGGAGGGGGGGGGTGGGGGGGGGCGGGGGGGGGGGGGGGTGGGGGGGGGGGGGGGGGGGGGGGGGGGTGGGGGGGGGGGGGCAAAATGCAAACAGACGTGAAAAAAAACAGAGAAAGAATCAAATTTGAACAGAAGGGAGATACTACAGATAAGCTGAAACATGAAGTTAGTGTAAAGTATGACTAGAAGAAAATGCCGTCAAGAAACTGGGTCGATCGCAAGGCCTAGTTTTCAACATTCGTCACCAAGGAGGATCTGAGCCTATACTATCCGCATGTAATGCAAGCTTAAAAATGGTGTGCGTAGTTAAAGGAGCTGGTGTGATACTGATCAGATCATGTTCCAAGCACCATATAGAAAAGGCTCCTTAACAATAATGAGAAGAACTCCACAGGGAAGCATGTACAGCAGGGGTCCACTGATGATCAGCAGAAAGATCCCTTGTCGACGATCGTTTCGGCCCGTTACCATTCCCATACAATCTTGGAAGGTGGGCCGACCTGGGTCAAGACTCCCAGGCCCTGATCTTCCCCTGCTGCACTTTACCGGATGTTCTCGGACAGGGACCATATTACATATCATATACAATACAGCCAGGACCATATATACTGACTGACATGGCTATTAAGACATTCAAACATAAGTATGAGCACCAAGAAACAGATTATTAACAGAATATTCATACCAACACTGTGCTGCCAACTTACCCATTCAAGACAAGGTTAGAAATGATAAATCAGACAGGTTGTAGGAACAACACCATGCAACTCATTCAATGAGAAATAGAAGATCAAATGGTTCGGTCATCAAGTAAGAAAGCTTCCAGAACTACCCATGCAAATAATACACATGAAAAGATCTGAAGTGACTACAAGAGGATGCCCTAGGAGAATATGGACTGATGACATTAAAGAGCTGCTACATCAACAAGGAATACAGATAGCTACTGCTGCCAATCAAGCAATGGACTGCACACTCCCCTCCACTCCCCGCACGGCTTAATGGCAGACAGACAAATAGTGCAGAAATTGTATGGATGGAGAAAAACATTCACATCCTAGGTTAAAATTGCACTAATTTCCATGACAGCTCTATATAATACAGCATATAAGAAAATGGTGTTAAAGCATGTACTCTGTGCATTAATTGCTTCTATATCTGGAGAAGAAGAAAATAAGGGGTTGCCATTTATCACTACAAGCAACTATCATTCAACTTATAAATTTTAGAGCAGTGTTGCCCAGTTGGTGTCCATGTAACAAATGTAAAGGGTTGTGCTACCATTTGCCATTAAAAAAATATTTTTGTGTGATTGAAAGTTCTTCCCTATCATCGTCAGGTGCCTTGCCGACTGGCGTCTATGTCTACTTTAAAAAAAAAAAATTGTGATTGTAAGTTCTTCCCTGTCTACTAAAACAAACAAATTTACGGGGTCAGACCTTTGAAAACATGAGTGGTCTGCAGGTCTAAGCTTTCTGGGAACCTCAGTTTCAGAAAGTGGCTAAAAAGGTATCCTAAAATTAATAGCTTGCTATTAAAGAAATAAGCCTTTTTTGTTTCTGTTTTTTAACTGAGGTATTGGGTTCTTAATAATATCCTACCCCAGATGACGTCACAGGACAGTCCAACATTTTAGAGTGTGGTAAGACTGGGTTTCCCGGCTTTCTGATGTTTTTAGCGATCCCAAAACATCTAGAACTGGTCCTAACCCCAACCCACCTACGTCCCACAAGAGCGTGCAGCCTAGGTTCAACGACTGCATGCAGCCTATCTACCCTGAAATATTATGTCGTGTGACCTATGGATTTCCCCTGTTTGGGGTAGGATATTAATAAAGCACCAAGGTATTGTAAGAGATACAAGATAAGGAAGGAGAAAACAAACCTATTTGGCTAAATTAAGTGATGTAAACATGTGATTAAAGAGCGTCCACCCCCCACCCCTGTCCACTGCTAGTCTCACTGTTAATATCCCCTGTGTGGGTCCCAAAGCACTGCAGTATGGAGATATAAACCCATTTAAAAGCATGTCACAAAGGATGCATGTTGTCAAATTAGGTCTCTGAGAGAGACGTTCAACCCCTAGGACCACACAACAAATGATTAACCACCCAACAAAGTGAACCATTTGGATGAAAATCCTCAAAGCATTAGTCCCCACAAACCATGTTGAACGATTAGGTTATATTAGGGGCCCCAACAACAATAGAGGTGGGGGGCCTGAGTGGTCCCGAGGCATGGCGTCCACTTCGAGTGATAGAGGTCCCGGGTTTAAGCCTCGGTGAAGGCTGGGATTTTTTCACGTGGGCTTCTAGTAATTTCCCTGGTACTGGGTAGTAAGATCAGACCTTGTGCGTATTGCTGCGCAGGTAAAAAAACAATCCCTTGGAAGTTGGAAATCGATAAGAGTAGCCTAACGGCTCCCCCAAGGTAAAATTCGCAGTTAAAAATCTACCTAAAGTATTTCAGGATCCATGCCTACGCTACAAAGTTTGTGCAGTGCGCTGATATTCTTCTGACCCAGGCTTGAGTTAGAAGTAAAACGGAGCACTTATGGGTTACTACCCTTATGCAATGATGTTGATCCGTTGAATAAACTATTAACCAAACAGACAGGGTGGGTTTGAAAATAATTGGGACAGAGTTCTAAGAGGTTGAGTCTTTGTGTTTATTTTATTTTTAAATCACATTATGGCATTATAAAGTAGGCTTACAAAATGTGTTGTATCTAGAAAACTATGAAACTAATAAATAAACCAACGGGCCAGAATTACTGCCAAAAATACTCCTTATGTGTGATGACAGAAACGTAACTGAGAGAGCTTAAAGTTCATTTTAGTCTGGGTGGACACGGATGCCAAAGTCATCAGGTGATGAATTTTAAAATCCTTTGAAGAGGGAGAGATGAGTAGTCGGGGTATATTAATCTGAGCTTAAAACATGATTTTAAAGTTCCCATTTATAAAATCTGTTATGTTTTCATAACACTTCCTCAGATATTCTCATATTGTTAGTTTTTTTCTTTATTCAAGTCTGTTGGTCATTTAGAAATACAGCAGTAAGATTTACTAAAAACTTTAGCATGTGGTACACAAAAACTATCTTTTTTGGGGTCATTTAGAAATACAGCAGTAAGCTTTACTAGAAACTTTAGCACGTGGTACACACACAAAACTATCTTTTTGGGGTTATTTAGAAATTCAGCAGTAAGCTTTACTAGAAACTTTAGCACGTGGTACACACACAAAAACTATCCTTTTTTAAGTCCTAATAATACAATTTAAACTACCACTACTATAAAAACACTTAAACGCTGCGTGTTCTAGAGGCAAATCAGACTATCTGTAAATCTGTGCAGACAACGATTCTAATTTTTGTCTTTTCCATTTCGACAGGCTGAGCCACAGCAAAGCGTGGCGGTTACTGCTAGTATATTTATAAATGCTGCTATTTACTTGAAATTAAGGGAAGAAAAAAGAAAAGCAGGCTTAAAAACAGCGAAGTGCACTCTAGTAAAAGTTTGCACACGCACCTTTGCTCTCAGCCGGTATTTTATTCTTTGCTGTGGAGATTAAATTAGCAACATGATTACTGGTGATTCTGGTTTTTTTACTCTGCCGAGGTGGCATAGTGGTTAGAGTGCCTGCTTGCTGAAGCAGTGCCTCGACTTCTTCTTTTTAGCATTCACTGGCTGTAAACTCAGGCGGAAAGTTCTGGCTGTTTATCCATGTCTTGTTCCAGAACTTGAGTTTTGCAACTTGGTTTATTTGTACGCAGACCACTGGTTCCTCGTCTCTCAGGAAGATGCACTCCAACTTTGGAGGAAACTCCTTAATTAATCAACTCTCATGATATGCTTGTTAGGAAGACAGATGGTCTATTCCCCTCTTCCCCCCCCCCCCCCATTCCACAGTCCTGGAACGATAACATGGAAGAAGTTTGTTTCTGTTAAAACTTTATACACACAAGCAGGCCTGCCTCTCTCTCTCTCTCTCTCTCTCTGTGCTTGAACCTTAACTGCTTGGATACAATGAGCAAAATTACAGCATCCAGTGCTGCAGGAACATTGACTTCTGTGAAAAATGAATGAAATTACCGTGTCCACTTCTGTGAGAACATTTCCTTCTACAATAAAAGGGGGTGAAATTACTGTATGAACACTGACTTCTGGGATACAGCGAGTGAAATAACTGCATCCGGCTCTACATAAAATCCAAATTTCCTAGTAGCTAAATATTTTGTGTGAACAAAAAGCACTGGTATATGTCATAAGTAGATCTAAATAGCAATCAATACATGCAGATGTGACCATTCAGGCTGGATGTCCACAAGGCAACTATCTCCTACCTGGTGTGAGCTGAGAGTTTCTCCGTTCTGAGCAATGTTGCTAGTTGAGGAAATAGTCGACAGCTGAAAGAGGAAAATATGAAAATATCAAATTCTAAACTACAGATGTATTGTTATAGTTTATCAATTGCGACTCTTTAACAATGTTAATAATTTGGTTTTAAGGCAAAACTGGTGCAATCCTTATCAGGACTATTATACATATTATAAACAAACAGACCATGTATTGATCAGCACTCACAGAAAGAAGTAGAAAGATAGAAGGCCACACTAGACAACATCAGATACGAAAGCTACAGGCACCCCTAAAAAAGTTGTCTTCGTTGGTCATGTCTATCGTACAGCCTGAAATCTACAACTAGGGAATATAGACAGAATTCATCTCAAACCATTGAAATGGCACCATAGGTTACAGAAAATTATATTAACCAAGCGTAGGTCGAAAACAAGAGTGGAATAGGCAGAAGAGACAGGAGACTGGATAGCTGTAGCATAAACAAACTATCAGAAACGAGCTACTGGTGGACAGCAGAGACATCATCACTGCCATACAAGAGACTAAACGCTGTAAGACTTTGTTTTGTGAAAAATAATTTTTATCTGCAATCTTTTCAGATAAAAATTATTTTTCACAAAACAAAGTCTCGTTCCCTATCGGAGCCGCAAGACAGGAAAACCATGCGGGACCCGCCTGTCTAAACATCAACCAGAATATAAAGGGAGTTGTTAGCCTAAAAACACATGGACACACCCTCAGAAGGAGATCGGAGCCCTTATGGTCATGTCCAATGAAGATGATCTTGAAGTCAACAATAAATTACCTGGGAGCTGCTCTGTGTAATGTTGATATCACTGACACATGAACCTGCATCACCACCAGCTCTGTCATTGGATGCTGTGGAAGTTCAAGAAGGCACATTACTACTGATATATTCAAAGACAAGACCATAACAATGAAGCATAGGAAACAGCAGGTCTTACACCGGTTTTATTGAGGACTCAGACTGGTAGAGCTCGGGTGCGGCCTCTACTTCAATATAAACCGTCTGTTGAAAAGGGCACAGTTTGTTCCCCACAATGGATCCCATAATCCAAACAGAAAGACTCAAATATCAATATAATTATTATTTCTACAATATCAAAGGCATATGTTTTTTTTGTAACAGGACAAGTATTTTTGACTTTACTTACAGTGGTCATCCATGACGGCATGCGAATGAGACTAGGTTTGTCTGCACTTGGGGTCCTTGCCCGATGACAGGATTTATGGCCGGGGGATAGACACTTCCAACAACCGATGTTGCTGCTGGTAACTGGCCTGCCACGGTTGGCTGGCTGGTGGCAGACTGCTGAGGACCAGCCTGTGAGACAGAAGAACTTTCATATGAACAAACTGTGTTTACATTTCTTTTAACTCTATCAATACCAAGCAAAAAATAACTAACTGTGAAATACTTTGTCTCAATAAGGTCACTAACACAAGAAGAGACAGGGTTACAAATACTAGAATTAAGAAAGTATGGATAAGACCATGTCTAGATTATATTGACAAAGAATGAAATGGTTCAGCCATCTAGTGAGGATGCATCTTGACCAAACTGCAGATGAGACTTTTTAAAGCAAAACAACTGGAAGTAAGGGGAGAGGAAGACCAAGAAAGAGATAGATAAATGGTGCAGCAGAAACCATATTTAAAAAAAAATCCATCACCTAAGAAGCGTAAGAGAAAATACAGAAAACCACGAGACTGGGCGACAACCTGGTATCAGTGAGATGACAAAAACAAAAAGAATCAAAGCAGTGTTTCCCTGTTGTGAATTTGAACAAAGAAGACACAAACAATAGACTGCACAATTTATTGCCTGGCATATTTCGCTGTATCTCGTCAGGTGCATACTACAGTAACAATTGATAAAAATGAAGCAAATAGCTGAATCCTAGAAACTGAAACACAAATTCGACTACATTCATGAACTGTCAGTTGCAGTCTGTTTGCAGGCAGAAAGAAATGGTCGCTACCTTACGGTTACCTTGGTGAAACAACTAGTATCAAGTTATAAGACAGCGCTATAATGGATACATTCTGAGAGGAGACGAACTGAGATTCACCAAACAGGCACTGAAATGGGAAAAAGAGGGACTGAGAAGATAAGGACGTCCAACAGAAAGAAACTCTAAGGTGAATGTTGATGAGACGAGCCCTGTGTGACATATAATGGCACAACAAGAAAATGAATGAATGAATGAAGTGTTAAGCTGCTTGGAATAGGAAAAGTTTTTAGAAAAAAATTCTGACAAGTGTTCAAATGCTTGATATAGAATTCTTCCGTGTTTGCCCTTTAAAAAAAAATTTTGTTGGGTTGTGGTTTACAGCTAGGCTGCAATATCTGCACGTTTCGGCCTCAACACATGTGAATTCAGCAAATCCCTCAAGAATCGACTTTTATTACTGCATGCTTGTAAGCAGGGCGGTGGGTCTTTTTTTTTGGAAGGGGGGAGGTTCCCAAAATGGGGTCCCAGAACCCAAATGGGGAAAGCAATGACAGCATTAGCTTTAACATGCAACAACTTCTAAGATTTTTTCTCCATGCGATGCAGACCACGACCTAGATATATGCATCTAGGCACTTGTTCCACAAGAATACCTTTGACTACATCATTGAAAAAAATTTGTTTATTCTAAGTGAATATTCTCCTTCTTCTTATTTCATCATTCTTCTTTTCTTCTTTGCGTTCACCAGCTGTTAACTCTGGTGGAAAGTTCTGGTTGTTCATCCACTTCTGGACTGCAGTCCTGTTCCAGAATCTGAGTGTTGCATGTGCATCCGTTTGACAGATCTGACGCGTTTGTGCGCAGACTGTTGGTCCCTTGCCTCTCAGGCAGATGCACTGTGACTTCAAAGGAAGCTCCCAATTAGTCGACTCTTACGACATGCTTTCGGGCAGGCAGTGGGTCTATTCTTGTTTTCCCTATAACAGGGTCCCGGAACCCACACGGGGGGTATTTCATCATTAAAAGGGTAGCTGTCACATTGTGTTGTGCTTCACAGCTAAACGATGATTCGGCCCATCACATCCGATTGCAGCAACTAATTAACTGCCTTTTTTACAACATGCATGTAAAGGGACAGACCCAAATGAATACCCCTGACTACACAATTATGAAATATATTTTACTTCTAAGGGAATATTCCATTGTGGAAGTACCTGGGGATATACTGCCTGCTGTGCGCTAACACTTGGTGGCTGTGGTGGCAGCAGGCTGGGTTGCTGGGCTGGAGCCTGAGAGGGCACTGGCGTCTGAGGTACACCTGCCTGCATTTCAAGAAATAGACAAAGTGGATTAAATCAATGAAGAATTAATCATCATCATCATCAAGTGCACTGCCAACTGGCTTAGGCTCTCATGCATGCATCTCCACAAATCAGTATCCCGGGTTGCCTGGAACAGTTCTCTTGATGATATCCCTCCATGTTATCATTTCAGCCTATCCAGCATCGTCTCTCTTGGTCCGCCTCTACCCCTTTCCACTGATCTTTCCAGTTTTCACGATGTTTTCCAACGCCTCTCATCTCATTATGTTGCCAAAGAACAGTGTTTGTCTCCTTTTGATTGTTGCATAGAGAGATCTAATTTCATTAGCTTCTTTTAAACAATCGTTATTAGTTACTTTGGCCGTCCAATGTATTTGGAACATGCGTATCCGAAACCACATCTCTGCTGCTTCCAAATTCTTCTTAATTTGTTTACTGACATTCCAAGATTCGCTGCCATACAGCAGAACAGGTTCTATGTAACAATTTAGCACCCTCCTTCTGACATTAAATGAGAGCGACTTATTGCATAAGAAATTTTCCATTTTCTGAAATGTTGTCTTCGCTTGACCTATTCCGCTTTTAATCGAAGAATGAAGCAGATAATTAAATCTTTTTCTGAGTTCATCCGAAGATGTAATTGTGTTATGTCCATTTACAGCATGGCTGCGATATTTGCACCTTTCGACCAACACATCCGACTTCTGCAGGCATTTGTTGATCCGGGTTAGCCTTCCTGGTAGATAATGAAAGGAAAAATATTACCTTGGGCTTAAACAAATTTACATGTGACTCAGATCATCATGTCTCCTTTGCTATACGACCACTAAAAGCTCAATGTTGAATCATGACATCATAATGACTACAACAAATATTTCACAACAACCATACCCTCTTTCCACCAATGCTAATTTTAGTAAATATAATCATTCTTGGTTCCCTGAAACACTGCTCAGGGACAAACTAAACAAATTCCATGATCTAGGCTTGTCGGAACCTGCTAGTTCAGCAACTCCAGTTTAACGTTATCGCTGGTAGCTTTAACAGATGGTTTTACCAGATTAGCTGTATCTCGGGACGAGAGACAATTCAGATTCCACAATGACAATTCTAAAGTCAGCAGAAAAATACTCAGCTGAAAAAAATTAGCATTAAATAACTAGCACTCTGCAAACATAAAATGTAAACGACAAATTAACCTATATTATAAAAATTACCTAATCTCATTGTAAAAATTTTTAAGGTACAAATAACATTCACGTGCCATAAAGAATACTGACTATGTTGAAATACACCTGTTCCCCATTTTATCGAGTGCTAGGTGGCATATATCAAACGCTGATATCCCTCCCACACTGTGCCAATGGCTTCAGGCAGAGGAGTGAATTGGTAAGGCACCACTATTATCTTAGGAAGAGGAAATGCAACCTGAAACATGTTATGGCAGGGCAGGCGAGGCTTTAAGCCTTGGACAGCAGCTGGCATCAGAGGGAAGGTCCGACAGGTGGACAGAGTACTGCTTTACTCCAAAAGTATTGGTGTTACCTTTCCTCTGGAGTAAACAAGGCAGGCTGAGAGAGAGATCATGCTGCATGGGCATCATATAATCTTAACATTACTGCCTATGCTTTGTGCTACGGAATTAACGTGAGCAGGTCTCGCTAGTCACAATCATCATCACTAAGAGCTGAGATTCCAATTCCTTCTACAGAACAATATAATCTTATCGTCTGGAAAGACAAAAACAAAGGTGCCAACCAAAAATCACTCCAAGTGTATAAAAAGTTCAGCAGCTAATCGATTGCCTGTCAAATGCTTCAAGTTTCACACAAATATAGGAAAGACCCTGAGCTTACCTCGGGAGCCACTTTCTTTTCTCACGGCATTTCATTACTTGGGCCACTCTGTCCCGGATCTGTTTGGCTGCAATTCTCCTGTCATCCTCCAAAAGAAACCCAGATTTCACCTAAACATTTAAAAAAATAGAATATAGTTTACATCTGCCTGCGTTAAAAACATGTTTACATTCACCAGCTGTCAACTCAAGCAGAATAGCATAGTGTTACATTCCCTTATGGATTATGGCCTTGTTTAAGTACTTGTGTGTTGCATGCATATCCATTTTACAGATCTGGATTTTCTGTGTACAGGCTTGGTTCCTTGCCTCTCTGGAAAATGCACTTTGAAGGCAACTTCAATCTTATCAACGCTGGCCAGCCCCCTCAGCAGAGATGACCATGAACAGGTGTACACAGGTCTCGGCCAATATGAGCTCTGGGGCTTGGTGCACGATCATGCCTGGTTCAGCACCTCTGCAAATATGAACGAGGGAGCTTCAACTGCAAACCTTGGGGGAGAGGGTGCCCCAAACAAACACACATATATGTATAGATAATATTTAAATTGTCATTATGACAGCACAGCTTTCAATCTCCACCAGGATTTCATACACTTACACTCTTGACATCCTTAACAACAACATTGACAGGTTACAAGACAATGACATGGTTATTGTGATTTCTATTAACTTTTAAGGTTTTCATTTGAAGCACCTCATATCTTTTGTCTGTCTGTTGGTATGTCTCTATCAGGCTAAATGTCTGTAGTTCATGTGTCTGCCTGTTTGTTTACATGCCCCCTTGTGTGTGTGTCCATATGTACAGACCAATCTGAACACCAGCCAGGTCCCATGTATGTACAGACTGATGCACCCATACACTGAAACATTTTAAAAGTTTGTAAATGTATGTGTGCATTGCCTAACCTAACCATCCGAGATCTAGTGAATAATGAAACTATCAGAACTAGAACCATCAAGAAACGGCAGATCAAGTGGTTGACCATCTCATTAGAACCCAGCAACATCAAATACCACCACAAGCACTACATCTCAGAAGATCAGCTATAGAGCAAGAGGATGACCCCGGAAAATAAGGATTGACAACATTAAAGACACTCTACACCAGGACTATTCAACTAAGTTGGCTCAGGGGCCAAAATTTAAAAAAAAAACAGGGATCGTCACGGACCAGAGGCCTCAGCCCCTCATAGAAAGATCTAAAATACAATACAGCTAGAAGTGATCCGCGGGCCACTTGTTAAGACTAGGCAGGCCAGATTTGGCAAGCGGCCCATCAGTTGAATAGCCCTGCTCTACACCTTCACGGCATGACAATAGCCAGTGGCAGCCAGCATGCAGTGGATCAAAAATTATTCCTCCCCACAACGCTCAACGGCAAAAGTGGTTTATGATGATGATGACTGTCTGTATAAAACTACTTGGCTCCTAGTTCGATCCAGCATTCAATGGATACCAGGTACAGTCTTGCGAAGTAAAGGTGGCCTGTGTGGTGCTGACCACATCGCCCACAGAGTGTCAACTGGTCTATAGCTTATAGGATGGTCTCACCCTACATGCCCAATATGCCTGAAGGCATAGAAAAGGACCCTTTACTTTCACTGCCTGTTTGCCTGCCTTCACATTACCAGAGACAGAGGAAGACCTAAAATGACGCGAAACATGACTATAGACAGAGTTCCATAGGAAGGACAAGAAGCAAGCTACAGGGCTTAGCTTTAGCAACCATACTCTCCGGTGGGGGGAAAATATCCCAGTGCAGAGGTAAAATATTCCATTTTGAGGATAACATACCCCGACGTGGGGATAAAATGTTTCAATGTAAGGCTAAAATACTTAAGTGAGTGATATAATGCACAAATCAAAGATAAAGGGTAGCATAAAATTTTGGATATCCAGTTTGATTAGCTGGGTTTGTTAGCTCAGTTGGTAACACCACCTGAGCAGCGACCGGGTGACGAACTCCTTGTGGTCTGGGTTTACTCTCGGATGTAGGCTGAAAAGCCACATATTTTACCAGATTTGCTGTACTTATCATGAAATCAAGGCTAAAAAGGTTGCGATATCCATAGTACCGAGCCAAAGTGTTGACAACTCAAGGTTTCTAGATATTTTTTTTTTTTAAAAAAAAAATCCAGTTTGATAACCATTACAGCAATGTGCATCGTGCTCACTATTAAATTAACAAGATAGATAATATCTGAAAGACAAAACAAATCAGAAGCATGATTTTTCGGTCCAGGATACTCATGTGTGTGGGGTAACATCAGGTTGATAGATTAGTTGATTCCGCCCCTCTGGGTGTTGAAGCTACTTTTATGATAAAGCAGTCGGGTTGAAGGCTCTCTGGGATCAAATGGACAGTGCAACAGAACAGACAAAGAAACCATGCACTGAAAGACTAATTCAACGTGGGGTGAGCAGAGGTGTTGGATGATATCCAGCACTGAAGGAAGGAAATAAAGGCGGACTTTTAATCAGATTACAACTGGTACTATTAGCATGTGAAATCTTTGCTGGCTACCGAAAGAAGGGGATGAAGCACGAATGGGAATGTCCCGAGTACAGTGATGTCAATTGTAAATTCATTCATTTAAGATAAACAAATAAGAACAGCTAAAAAAAAAGCAGCTAACCAGATCAGAAGCTATCTCCTCTGCTTGATCTTGGCCCAAATCAAAGTCGAACTGGATGGCTTCATTCTCTTTGTGTGTGTCCCTTCTTTTCTTTGGGTCAACCACACGCAGCCTCAGGGGAATCACCTGCAAGTCTGTCAACTCATCCTCTATTCTGACCAGCTCCACCAGCAGACCAGTATCCTCTAGGAAGAAATCATGAGCCAGGAGATCTTTCACTGTCATCCTAGAAGACAGCAAAATAAATGTAGATCTAGGAATGTAACATAATCACTGAGGACATAACACAATCATTACAAATCTAGGGACAAAATAATTACTGGCAATTTGGAAAAGTAACGCAATCAATGACAACTTGAGGACACAAAATCATTGACAACCTGGGGACATAACACAATCATTGACAACCTGGGGACAAAACACAGACAAATGAACAGGACACTGCAGGCTCAACTACCACATGCATAAAATAAAAATTGTAGTCCCCACAGTGTGCCTGTCAAACTGGACCACAAACACCTGAGCACAATCTGCAGACCTGCCCACTCTACCTAGAACTTTAAAAAGACACCTGGCGTCAAAAGCAAAGTGTGCAGAGCAAGCTATGGGGAACTATGAAGGACATGCTACCGACATGTGAGACAACCCACCTGATGGTCTGATCTGAGCACCGAAACGCAAAGAAAAGAAGAAGAAGACAAACGGTGGGCTTAATAGAATCACTGACAAAATGGGCACATAATACAATCACTGACAACCTGGGGCATAACACAATGGCTGACAACCTGGAGACTAACAACATCACTAACAACCTGGGAACATGACGTAATCACTGATAACCTGGGAACATGACACAATCACTGACAAACTGAGGACACAACACAGTCAGACAAACTGGGAACATAATACAATATAAACATGACACAGTTACTGACAACCTGAGGACTAACACAACAACCTGGATTTTTCCTTTTTACCCACTTTAGTCTAGGCTAAAAACACCTTTAAGTTGGATTAAAAAATCTATGACATTAGACAAGTGTCTAGTAAGACTACTGTGGTTCCCTATATGCATGTTAAAATATATCCTATGACATTAGACCAGTGACTAGTAAGACTACTGTGGTTCCATATATAAATGTTAAAATATATCCTATGACATTAGACCAGTGACTAGTAAGACAACTGTGGTTCCATATATAAATGTTAAAATATATCCTATGACATTAGACCAGTGACTAGTAAGACAACTGTGGTTCCATATATAAATGTTAAAATATATCCTATGACATTAGACCAGTGACTAGTAAGACAACTGTGGTTCCATATATAAATGTTAAAATATATCCCATGACATTAGACCAGTGACTAGTAAGACAACTGTGGTTCCATATATAAATGTTAAAATATATCCTATGACATTAGACCAGTGACTAGTAAGACAACTGTGGTTCCATATATAAATGTTAAAATATATCCTATGACATTAGACCAGTCACTAGTAAGACAACTGTGGTTCCATATATAAATGTTAAAATATATCCTATGACATTAGACCAGTGACTAGTAAGACAACTGTGGTTCCATATATAAATGTTAAAATATATCCTATGACATCAGACCAGTGACTAGTAAGACAACTGTGGTTCCATATATAAATGTTAAAATATATCCTATGACATTAGACCAGTGTCTAGTAAGACAACTGTGGTTCCCTATACGAATGTTCAAATATATCGCTGGATTTCTTAGTATACCATAAACAAATGTTTTTGTTTATTTTAAATTTTTTGAATTTAAAAAAAAAAAGCTCACCTGTCTTCCTTCTTGGTCTGTATACAGCCCTCAATGATGCTGTGTATTTCTGGGTCCCTCACCTTATCCAACGCTTCTGGGTGTACGCCCTGTTTTAAAAAAATCAAACAAAAGTGTGTGTCAGACCATGGACATTTTTTTAAGATAAATTTCCAAGGGAGGGCGTTAACAATACACAGTAGAGAAACTTAAAGAACGTCACAAAGAATTATTAGCTATAAAAGAAGTGGATAAATTTATATAATGAAGGAAAGATATTACCTGAAAGCCGACATAGTGAAAACATGTGCTACTGAATATTCTGCAAGAAACGGGAAAAAAATAATTGCAAAACAAATTAGTACCACCATAATAACATGTCCCATAGAAACAAATAAATGCGCTTACAGTTGTGACTTTGCGGTAGATTTGACCAGGGTTGTGGCATTCTTTGTATGGGTACTCGGACGAAGCCATCTCCAGCATACACATCCCAAAAGCATAGACATCAACTGCTTCATCGTAGTGCTCATCGTACATCTCTGGTGCCATGAACTCCGGTGTACCTTAAAGAATACAAAGGACGTCTTGTATTCTCCAGCTGCCTTTAGAGGAGGGAAGAGAAATGGTGGAGGCCTAAGGTTAGTTGTAACTGATCACAGACTACTTCCGGGTGATGACATTTTAGCATATATGTGACGCATTCTCACAATAACTTTTATGGGACAACCAAAATGCCATAATTTTGACTCTGTGAAGCCATTGTTAAACAGTTATCTGTAACAGCAGGAAATTATAACCAGTTTTCTGTAAGGATGCATCACAACTTGTTATTCAAATAAACAAAAGAGAACTAAAGAGAAGATTTTAAAAAGAACATTTATAAAAGTGAACCTACCTTCTCAGCCCAGGGGAATTAGCATGAAATCAACAAAGTCTAGACAGGATGCCTAAAGGCAGTTATGAATTTGTGTGGAATAGAGAAATGAAACAAATTTATCAACATGGTAAATTTGTGAAACAAACAACAACAAAAGTCAATGTCAGCCAGAGAGAGACTTATAAATTCTAAAAACTATAAAGAAAGAACATTTCAATATTGTAAAAATACCTCTGTATAAAAATTAGAGGCAAATTAGAGTATTGGATTACAGTAGACATGTATTTTGTGTGAAATATACAGGACATTTTCAAATACATTAGAAACGCAAACATAATAGCTCCACAGCTTGATAAATTAAGTCATACACTGATAACAAATCCTTGAGAACAATTCAGTCAAAACACAAGAACATAAAAATGGGACTTACCCGCACAGCTTCTACTTAAAAAAAAATCAAAACATTTTAAAATATGGATATGCATTAATTATTCTCTACGGTTAATTATAAGAAGAAGCATACAGTTAATCTCAATACTGATGCCCCAAGCACAAGTAGAAAACACAAAAAGATACTACAGAACATTAGACAAAGCCAGAAACTTTACTTACCAATGACACTTTTTGCAAACGAATTGCTTTTCAGGGTTGCCAGGCCTAAGTCTCCAATCTTGACCGAGCCTGTGGTACCTGTGATAAAGATATTGTCACACTTGAGATCCCTGTGGATGATTGGGGGCGTTCTAGTGTGTAGATACTGTAAACCTTTCAGGATCTGACGACACCAATTTTTCAGAACTTTCAGGTTCAATTTTTTAAATCGCCCAAGGTACCTGTCAGAAAAAGAAAGAAAAAAATAATTAACAATCTTCAAGAAACATCTCATTCAAGAGACTATTCTGGATCATGTATCAGAATACAGGTTGGGCCAGTGGTTCTCAACCTGTGGGACGCGACCACTTTGGAGGTTGAACGAACGTTTCACAGGGGTCAACTAAAAACCATAGGGAAACACATTCGCTGTATTTATGAAGTAATGAAAATAATTGTATGGTTGTGGGGAGGGGGGGGGGGGTCACCACAACATGAGCTGAGTTGAGTCAAGAACTAACATCACAGCACTCGGGACATTCCCATGTGTGCTCCATCCTCATCTTCAGCAGCCAGTGCCGAGTTCCAATACTGATAGTACCAGTCACACCACAACATGAGAAACTATAAAAGGGTCGCAGCATTAGGAAGGTTGAGAACTACGGGTCTAGGCAGTTTAGTCATATGTTCAGTAGTATGAGTTCAGTAATAGCAAGTATATACTACAATTTACAAAATAAACACACAGAAGTTACAATAAATAAAGCCATTCAGAACATCTCATTCTGTGTCATAAATGAAACAAAAACAAAATCTATCAGAATAAACAGTTCAATAACTGATAAGTCAAAAAAAATGAAATATGCCAAATCAACCCCTTCTGTCCATTATTTGCTTTTCAAATCTTACTGTGTGTCTATATGTGTATTTTTTGCTTACTGTATGTCTGTTTTATTTAACATGAGTATGCATTGGTTTTTTCCATCTATATATTTTGATGATATTCTGCTACTGAATGCCCCAGAAAGCTATGCTGATGTATATCCAACACAGAGTCAGGGGGAAGATCACACACACCACAACAAATTCATGGAATGATAGCATGAAAAACAACCTTAAAGAAAACAAGACCAATTTATACAACACATGTGGTGTAGCAACTAGATGCTTGCCTGCAGAGCCTCTACTGATATGCCTAGACCAAGAGAAGGGCAACCATATCTGGTTCACGGGTCAAATTTAGAATTGCCAACCTGGTTGCAGATCATATACAAAAATATCCATTTTAAACATAACACTCAGATTCCCTCATAACACAATATTTTTGTGGGATATTCTAAGTTTATAATCCCTCACTACGCCTCTGGCCAGGCACACTAACTCACTAAAGCCTTTCTATATATTCCTAAATGTGTTTGTTCAAGCTGGTTATTTGTGTCGCTTTCTAATGAATCCAAGAGCTAGATTAAATAGTAATTTTACACCAGCCTCGTGGGCCAACAAAAACTGCACAGTGGACCAGTTTTGCCCGTGGGCCATAGTTTGCCCACCCCTGGCCTAGATGCTGGTTTCAAGCTCAGATGTGCATAAAACCTTAAATCCATGGGGGAGGGGGGGAAAGCCCTATTGTCTCTTAACAAGCATGGCATAAAAGGCACTAATTAAGTCTACTGAAACTGAACGCGTTAAACCCCCAAATGGAGCCTCCGAAACACACACTGGGGATATGCTGTTCAACCTTCCTGACATAAAAATCACACCCCCCCCCCCCCCCAACCCCTCCCCCGGAGACAAGACCACATTTCAAAATTACGTTTTCAAAGTGCCAGATGTCATCAGTTCTGTAATGAGAACAATGATCTTCTGTCTGTGCGGCCCCTCCTCCTCCCAGTAGTCAAAGAACCTTAGAATGTTGGGGTGCTGTAACTCCTTCAGCATCTCTGCCTCTTCCTTGAATCGCTTCCGGTCGCTCTTACTCCAACGCTTGTCCTGAAAGAAACAGGAAAATTACAATCATTCATCTAATTTGACATTTTCAGCAAATTATAGAACACATAGTAACATGTGACAATGTCTGTCAAAAGTGTCATTAATGCTTGTATTTACCATGTCTGCAGTATATGACAGCGGGCATCTGAGTTAAAGTATTTAAAACCGCATGGCTATGTGCAGTCGCCACGCAGTATGCAGGTGAGTATTTTATTTTCGCCCCCCAAAAAAAAGAAAAACCATAAATTTAGAAAGGATTCAAACCTGGATCTCCCACATAACAGCCCAGTGTTTTTAACAGTTCAGCCAGCCACCCCTCTTACGCGTGCGTGACACTGGTGTTTACTAAAATAAGCCAACTCCCTGTGTGAGTTCCAAGCTCCCATTCTGGTGGGTGGGGAGCCCCCCACACCCTCCTTAAAAAGGCATGTCGTAAAATGTGACTAATTAGGAATTTTTCCTCATCTGAGCACATCTAAAAGAGGTGAGGAACCAACAATTTGCAAATAATAAGCCAGAGCTGTAAAACAGATATGCTTGCAAAATTCAAGTTCTGGAACAAGAGAAAGTCCAGAAGAGGGTGAGTTACCAGACCTTTCCTCTGGAGTTTACAACCGGTAAGCAATAAAAAGGATAAGAAACAGCGAACATCTCCAATAACAGTCTATCATCTCCCAAACGAAGCACAGACTCAACCAACTGACGCCAGGATTTTTGACTGACATTAACAACAAAGTAAAAAAAAAAAAATTGTCAAAAAATAAATGAAATGTTTAGGGCACATCCTAAAGGTAACTAACTACAAGAGACAGAATCAGAAATGATGATATCAGGAAATAAGACAGAACCAGTATTTGACCACACCAAGAGACAACAGATCAAATGGTTTGTACATGTGTCAAGACTATTACCAGACAATGCACCACGGAGAGCCCTGACACTTAAGACATGATGGAAGCAGATACAGGGGTCGACCACGCATGCGACGGATGGACGGAATATTCAAGGCAGTAAATACAATCATCACATACCAAGGTTCTCACCCGTTGCCTCTTCAAAACCTGACGCTGTAAGATACAGGACTATAGAAGAAGCCCATGACCGGTTGGATTTTCTATGTAGTAAAGTTTCCAGCCATTCAAGCCAAAACATACCCAGGACAGCCAAGACTAAAACAGTTGCAGGGACTAGGAATTGCTCTAAGAAGTAAAGAAGGCCGGGGTGGTATTGACGTCACGCATTAATTGCCAAATGGTCTGTAAGTCTAACATCATCTGCGCAATGTGCCAGGGACAAGAAAGGGCCCTTTGCTACTTGAATGCATGACAAGACAGTAATACAATACAAGGCAGACAGTTAACAAAAACTATAAAGTACACAGACATTATAACCAAATAAAACACTTCAAGACAGACACCATCACAAACAATAAATAGCTGACTGCCATGAAGAAACAATAAAACATAATGGGGAGCACAGATAGTGTTGAACAGTAAAAATGAACAATAAAGAAAAATCATGAAACAACAGTGAAACAAAACAAGATAGTCATCAACAAACAGTGAAACAATATAATAGTCATGACTACAATAAAGGATACAATACAGTCATAAACAAACAGTGAAACAATAAAAGACAGTCATGACTAAACAGTAAAACAAAACAAGACAGTCATGACTAAACTGAAAGATACAATACAGTCATAAACAAACAAACAAACAACACTAAATAGTCATGACCAAACACTAAAACAATACAATATAGTCATTAACAAACAGTAAAACAATACAAGACTGTCATGAACAAACAGTGAAACAACACAGGACGACATGAACAAACAGTGAAACAATACAAGACTGTCATAAACAAACAGTGAAACATACAAGATAGTCATGAACAAACAGTGAAACAATACAAGACTGTCATGAACAAACAGTGAAACAATACAAGACTGTCATAAACAAACAGTGAAACATACAAGATAGTCATGAACAAACAGTGAAACAATACAAGACTGTCATGAACAAACAGTGAAACAATACAAGACTGTCATGAACAAACAGTGAAACAATACAAGACTGTCATGAACAAACAGTGAAACAATACAAGACTGTCATGAACAAACAGTGAAACAATACAAGACTGTCATGAACAAACAGTGAAACAATACAAGACTGTCATGAACAAACAGTGAAACAATACAAGACTGTCATAAACAAACAGTGAAACATACAAGATAGTCATGAACAAACAGTGAAACAATACAAGACTGTCATGAACAAACAGTGAAACAATACAAGACTGTTATGAACAAACTGTGAAACAATACAAGACTGTTATGAACAAACAGTGAAACAATACAAAATAGTCATGAACAAACAGTGAAACAAAACAAGATAGTCATGACCAAACAGTGAAATAATACAATATAGTCATAAATAGGGCCGAATACGAGTAACGGGACCAACTATTCGGCCGAATACGAATAGTGAATGAAATAACCCCCCCCCCCTTCCCCCCAAACACATTCATAATGTCAAATTTACGCTGAACTTTTACTTCACATAAGTAGCACAGAATAGTCTTCTTCTTCTTTAGCATTCTGAGCCCTTGAGGTTTGCTGCTGCAGACTGTTTTCGAAAACCTGTAATAAGGCCTCATCTTTTTCATTTCTACTTCAAGTTTCAGAGCCATATAAAACGACTGGTCTTTTCAACGTTTTATATATTTTGATCTTGGTGTTGCGATACAGACACTTTGACTTAGCAGATGTTAAAGGGCATAGTATACTTTATCTCTAGATTGTATTTCTTCTCTCAGCATGTTGGAGCAGTTGAAGTTTGCACCCAAGTACTTATTTGTTTCCATTCGTTTGATTTTCATATTATCGACTATGATGTGGCCGGAGTTTATATTCTTTCCATGTCTAGTTAGTATTCGCACAGAATAGTAAATATTTAAAAAACATTTTGTTTTGCATCCTTCAGTTAGTCTGTGGTAATTAATAACAAGGAATGAAAGAATCCTAAGTATTATAACAAGTAACTTATATGAACAATCTGCAAATTACCGCAGGCAGGATAGTTTTTCTCACTGACTCACTGTCAGCTATACAGGCCCTTGAGTCCAAACCTACCGACAGCACACTAGAAAGTCTAACACAGGAACTTGCTATGTCGTCAAATAAGGCAGAAATTCTCTTGTAGCGGATTCTGTCTCACTGTGGCATCAAAGGCAATGAAAGCGCAGATGCTTTAGCCAAGGAAGGCAGTAACAAACCACAGACCTACCAGCCACTATCTTTTCCAGAAGTCAAAACTCAGAAAATCAGAAACAGATTGGAAAACCAACACTGGTTATAACTACAGAAAAGATTTTCTGAAACACTTGAACAGAACAGACCAAGTCACAGTTTTTCGCTTACGCACTGGACACTGCAGACTCAATAAACACTCACATAAATTAGGTATGAGCCAAACAGCTCTCTGCCAGTGCCTTCGTACTGAACAGACTCCAGAACATGTCCTGCAAGACTGTCCTCTACTGGCGGAGCTGCGGAGCGACATATGGCAACACTCAGTAGAACTGACAACTAAGCTTTGAGGAAACCTAAGAGACCTTGAAAATAAATACCAGTTTATGACCCACAGCGGATTATGCGCATGACCAGAGATCGCTGAAGAAGAAGATAACAAGAAACTAAACTTGATTGTCACTGACAGCTTAGTTAATGCATGACAGCTGCATTAGCTTTCAACAAAACCAATCGTTCCATGTTGTCAGTATTAAGGCCGTGTATGCAGAAGCGGGTGTTAAGTAACTACTATTCGTATTCGGCATGACTGAAACTATTCGGCCGAATACCGAATAGTCAAAAGGACCACTATTCGGCCCCGAAGCGAATACGAAGCCAATATTCGGTACAGCCCTAGTCACAAACAAACATTAAAACAAAACAATATAGTCATGAATAAACAGTGAAACAATACAAAAAAGTCATGAACAAACAGTGAAACAATACAAAACAGTCAGGAACAAATAGTGAAACAATACAAAACAGTCAGGAACAAATAGTGACACAATACAAAACAGTCATGAATAAACAGTGACACAATACAAGATAGTCATGAACAAACAGTGAAACAATACAAGACAGTCATGAACAAACAGTGAAACAATACAAGATAGTCATGAACAAACAGTGAAACAATACAAGATAGTCATGAATAAACAGTGAAACAATACAAGATAGTCATGAATAAACAGTGAAACAATACAAGATAGTCATGAATAATCAGTAAAACAATACAAAACAGTCATGAATAAACAGTGAAACAATACAAGATAGTCATGAATAATCAGTAAAACAATACAAAACAGTCATGAATAAACAGTGAAACAATACAAAACAGTCATGAATAAACAGTGAAACAATACAAAATAATCAAAACCAAACAGTGAAACAATACAAAACAGTCATGAATAAACAGTGAAACAATACAAAATAGTCATGAAAAAACACTGAAACAATACAAGACGGTCGTGAACAAACAAAGAAACAATACAAGACGGTCGTGAACAAACAAAGAAACAATATAAATAGTCTTGAACAAAAGTGAAACTACAAGATAGTCATTATTCCATTGACAAGATAAATCATTCCATTAAGAAGATAACTCACCTGCAGCTCACACCAGGCAACATGCACACCTGTATCAATCTCCAAGCCCTTGTGAACAGTTTTGAAAGTCCCTCGGCCAACCTCTTCATCCAGCTTCATAAAGCGATGATCCGGGGACATCCTCGGTTGCTTAACATCCTCATCTTTCTTTTTCGTTTTTGATTCAGTATCCGAATCGGTATCTTTGGCAGAACTGAACTGTTCGCCCGCATTCTCTTCTTTTCCCTGCTTGCTAACACTATCATCTACAATATCTTGAGCATCATTAACATCATCATTCTTTATATTTACATTGACTGATTTCATCGTAAAATCGATGCATTCGTTTTTATGTTCAGAAGGAGAAGTCTGTGTTGGATGTACAGTTGGAGCTGAATTATCTGCCATCGTTTCAGGGACCTTAGAGTCCATATTGTGTGACACATCACTGACTCCATTGACACTTCCACTAGGTACTGTTGGGTGGAGATCTGTTCTATGTTCTTCTTGCATAGTTCTATTCAATGGTTCAAGTTTTCGATGAGGAGATTTAGAAGAACTATTGCCAGTAACATTATTAACCCTCCTTTTTTTTCCAATTAAAGATTTACCATCCAACTGAGAATTATCACCAATCCCCAATTTCGATTCCTGTTCTAGCTTATTTGGATCTTCAACTGTGACCTGAAGTGTTGAAATACTGCGTTTTGGGGGAATTAGCGTAAAGATGGCTCTCCCTGCCGCTTTCTTTGCTCCTGAGTGAAGATCAACATCCAATTCTGAAACTGAAATATCCGTACTGACTGAAACACTATCAGAGACACACTGTCTTCGGGTAGTTGATCGAGGCCGCAATACAGAACTGCACGTACCCTTGGCTTCATTTAGCTGTTCGTTGACTAACTGCTTTTTCTGTTTGTCAATTATCACTTCTGACTTTTTCAGCCTAATACCCGTGTCGGCATCTTGAACATGGCCATTTGGTGATGACCGTTTCGCCCGAGCCGGCGACTGCTTTCGCAAGTCGCGAGAATCGCCATTCACAGCCTTCTTGACTAATGCCTTACTCATTTCTAAATATTATGTGTAGTTGGAAACTGAAACCGTTCTCGTGTGTGATACAACATTAAATATATAACCGGAGTTTCTAAGAAAAGAGATATATACACAAAGTTTAACCAGATCGATACATACACCAACAGCTAAATGTGTATGTTTAATTTATACTTGATACCGGCTGACAGTCAAAACACAAGCAAGCGCGCCGGCAAAACACGACAGCCCGAGGAAGTCTAATAAATGTTTTAATTTCCGGTGTATACTCCATTTAGCTCAAGTAGATGAGAAGGATGTATATAGTTACTGTAAATTTAATACAAAGAAGCCGTAAACAGTGGCCGAAGCTGCTTTATTGAGTGATCAATTTGTCAATTCAGGATCACATCTTCTCTGTCCGATACACGCCTAGCCACAGACGAGGAATTATGGCGGCTTCCTCTAGCAAAGCGGTTTGAAAGTAGTTCTATTTCAGTTCAGAATAAACGTCGTTAATAAAAATAGTTTTTAGTCAAAACGTGTATTCAATAACTTATATGATGAGTGTTCGTTGATAAATAACGACTTAGCTGAACTATCGCTGTGTTTTAATGTTTTGGTTTGAATCACATGGCGGTATGATATTGTTCCTACGTGCAGCGTCTGAAAACAATTCTTGAGCAACGTGAGGCAGGCATGGGTCTGGCCTATTTACACATTACTTTCAGAGGCGGCGACGATGGGAAGGCACATTTATGTGCTGACACCAGAGGGAAATTATTCAGTTAGTTGGTCGACAGATTATGCTCACTGCACGTGGAGCAATTTAATTTATTAGTGCTCGGACCCCCTCCTCAATTAATCCTGCAAGTTTATCGACTAACGGCACCAGTCCTGTGTTGGTTTCTTATTCTTCTTTGGCTTTCTGCATGGTGCTCTTGTCTAGCCACACCCCTTTTAACTTGCGGTTCTAGCAGTCTGCTCACGCAGATGCACAGTCCCTTGGTTTTCGCAAACATGTTACTTCTCGTAAAATATTAGTATACAGCCTGTCCATGGATTGTCCCCCCGCCACAGTAGCTTTTCGGTATGTCTATCAGCTGACTCATTTCTTTGCACGAAAATGAAACATTTGTCAGTCCGGACTATCTGACCGCCTCAGAGACACAAGTCACTTTCTTCGGATTCAGCTAATTTCTGTCTTTTTAAGCATACTCACTGAGCCTAAAGTATTGAGTCTAATCCTACCCAGACATTGGACTACATGTTATTTCGTAACCGCTGAGGTGCTCTAATAAAATTGTATTATATTATAACCGCAGAGGTGCTCTAATACAATTGTATTATAACGTAACGGCAGTTGTGCTCTAATACAATTGTATTATAACGTAACGGTAGGGGTGCTCTAATACAATTGTATTATAACGTAAAGGCAGTTGTGCTCTAATACAATTGTATTATAACGTAACGGCAGAGGTGCTCTAATACAATTGTATTATAACGTAACGGCAGAGGTGCTCTAATACAATTGTATTATAACGTAACGGCAGAGGTGCTCTAATACAACTGTATTATAACGTAACGGCAGAGGTGCTCTAATACAATTGTATTATAACGTAACGGTAGGGGTGCTCTAATACAACTGTATTATAACGTAACGGCAGAGGTGCTCTAATACAATTGTATTATACCATAACGGCAGAGGTGCTCTGATACAACTGTATTATATCGTAATGGCAGAAGTGCTCTAATATAATTGTATTATAACGTAACGGCAGAGGTGCTCTAATACAATTGTATTATACCGTAACGGCAGAGGTGCTCTAATACAACTGTGTTATACCGTAACGGCAGAGGTGCTCTAATACAACTGTGTTTTACCGTAACGGCATAGGTGTTCTAATACAACTGTGTTATACCGTAACGGCAGAGGTGTTCTAATATATATGTATTATACCGTAACGGCAGAGGTGTTCTAATACAACTGTATTATATAGTAACGGCAGAGGTGTTCTAATACAACTGTATTATATAGTAACGGCAGAGGTGTTCTAATACAACTGTATTATACCGTAACGGCATGGGTGCTGTAATACAACTGTGTTATATCGTAACGGTAGAGGTGCTCTAATATTACTGTGCTATATCGTAACCGCAGAGGTGCTTCTATACATCTGTGTTATACCGTAACGGCAGAGGTGCTCTAATAAAACTGTGCTATATCGTAACCGCAGAGGTGCGCTAATATATCTGTATAATACCGTAACCGCAGAGGTTCTCTAATAAAACTGTGCTATATCGTAACCGCAGAGGTGCGCTAATATATCTGTATATTACCGTAACCGCAGAGGTTCTCTAATACACCTGTATTATATAGTAACGGCAGAGGTGCTCTAATATATCTGTATTATATCGTAACGGTGGAGGTGCTCTAATACAACTAACTGTATTATATAGTAACGGCAGAGGTGCTCTAATACAACTGTATTATATAGTAACGGCAGAGGTGCTCTCTAATACAACTGTATTATATAGTAACCGTGGAGGTGCTCTCTAATACAACTGTATTATATAGTAACGGCAGAGGTGCTCTAATACAACTGTATTATATAGTAACCGTGGAGGTGCTCTCTAATACAACTGTATTATATAGTAACCGTGGAGGTGCTCTAATACAACTGTATTATATAGTAACCGCAGAGGTGCTCTAATACAACTGTATTATATAGTAACGGCAGAGGTGCTCTAATACAACTGTATTATATAGTAACCGCAGAGGTGCTCTCTAATACAACTGTATTATATAGTAACCGTGGAGGTGCTCTCTAATACAACTGTATTAGATAGTAACCGTAGAAATGCTCTAATAGAACTGTGTTGCGCGGTTAAACTAGGTCTCCGTTGTGATTCTCAGAGGTGTTGGTCAAACGGACATCAATCCCTGATAAAAACAATGACCAACCAATCGACTTTACGGGAGTATTAACGAAATATATCGACTGTGACGTCATCGCCGAGCAGATCTGTCAAGGATATATATGGAAGTCTATTATGTTAGCATATACTTTTTGTTCGGTTTTATAACTTTTCTTGTTAGCAGTGATATCTCGAACTGACACTGCTTTATTGTGTACGTGCGTGTGCATATGTCTATTTTTTGTGGCAAAGACAAGCGAAGAGATTATACACACCAAGCACTAGAAAAATGTACGATTTCATACTGACGTTAAGAAGTCAGTCAAAGTATTAGCCCCATAAACTCATATTCTCCGCCCACACAGGACAGCAAGGTACATTAAACGTAATCTTAACGACGATTAAGATGGGAAGTGTGCATTCATCGGTAAATCAGTGTGTTCTTCACTATTCTTCTTATTGAAGCCCATGCCGTGCGGCGTTGGTAGTCATGGTTACCCACAACCTTCTGTCTTGTGTACTTTCAATCAGCTCTGACACAAATACTAGTGGCAAGATTCAGCTACAAAACTGCCATTACTGGTTACATTTAGCACTTTTGCGATGAAGGCAGTGAAGTCTTTGAGTGTGAGGATGACTGACTGACTTTCTACCCCACCAGGACATCACACAAGCGATAAACACCCGATGACACAAAGTGCCACAATGTGGATGAGGATCACCGTGGAGAGGTCCCAGAAACCGCGTTCAGCCATTAGGCCATATTTATGGCCGGGCTATATTGCGGCCCCTGGAAAGAGCCAGGGTGGGGCTTCAAATTAACGAAAAGGTGCATCTCACAAGGAGTTGACGGTGGTCTTGTCTAAGGATTTAGGGCCGCGTGTCTAGTGCTGTCACCGCGGGCTGTGCAGGTTATGACTTTATTTTTGCCTCTGACCGAACTAATTAGGGGTTTCTTTCAAAGTCTGAGTGTATGCGTCTGCTGAGAGGCAAGAAGCCAACACTCTGCATACAAATAGGCCAGATTTGTTTTTTTTTTTTTTTTATCGAACACCGGCTGTGAATTCCAGTGGAAGGTCCCGGTTAATCGTCCACTTGGACTTTTGGCTTTCACCTGGACCTGATTTTTGCGTGTACAACCGTTTTTCATTTCCCTGCCTCATGGGCAGCTGTACGCCGACTTCGAGGGAAGACGTCAGGCCTATTTCTAGGTTGACTGTGGCCATTGTTTTTTGTGGGTCGAGACGTTGCCTGATTTGTGTGGTGTCCACACCGCAGGTGTTGCCCCCGGAGTACCCCCTTTGGGGTCAGCCCCCTGTGGAACAGTTAGCCCTCAAAGGGAAGGCAGGGGCAGATCATGGGCATTCCCCGCCATCCAAGGAGCATCCATGTATGCAGAGCCGGGCACATCACACTCTGGTTCTGGGCTCACCAAAGGAATCGTCACGTCCTGCACATGCCTGCTTAACCTCACAACCGTATCAGGCCTCCCGCTCGGCAGGGGCTGCGCCCTCTGGAAGTCAGCGGGGAGCAGCCCGTGGGTTTTGGACTTTTGTGACCACACAGATAGGTACATTCTTTTTTCTTCGCACGTTAGATTTCTTTGACGAGCCGTTAGCCCGACAGAATTTTACATCCTGCATCAGGCATATCGTTATCAGTTTTGTCCCAACACTCGGGCGAGTGGGGTCTTTGGGTGTGGACATTCGGTCTTTTTCAGTTCAATACAAATTTTGATGGTCAGATTTTGATCCGTATGATCTAGTTTTGTCGGACATTTAGGCTTAGTCATCCGATGGATGGTTGCTGTTGTGGTGAACCTCAGCGCGGTGACGACGACACTGAGGGTTAGCCGAGGATGTACAAGGATGGTCCGCCTATGGATGGTTGCTGTTGTGGTGCACCTCAGCGCGGTGTCGACGACACTGAGGGTTAACAGTCTCCGCAGTCTTTTAACCAAGGGTTGTAATTTTGACTGTACGTTTGGCAAACCTACTCAATGTTCCTAATGAGTTTTGGTAACATTTTTCACCCAAGCGTTTGGGGGCGGGCTGATGAGGGCCACAAGGACACATCACCTCTGGGGGCCGCCGAACTCCGAGATCCCCTGACAGCTCTGT